TCCTAGGTATCCTATCCTGTCCAAACTAGACCAACTCGCTCGGCTCAGTGTCACACACATACACCCCTCCCCCTCCTGTGGTGGCCTTTCCCGGTTTTCGCACTCCCTCCACTGGGCCCCCCGAATAAGCGCAGCTCTCTCTCTCTCTCTCTCATCGGATGCAAAAGCGGCAAACCATGATCAAAACATCCAATCATTCACCCACTCGCCGTAGCCGAAGCCCAGTTTTTTCGTCTCTCTTCTGTGGCTTCGTCGTCGGGCGAAGCACAGGGTCCAGGGGCTTGGAGGGGGGGGCAGAAGTGGCAGAGTAACAGCGAAGGGGAGAGAAGTGGAAGAGAGGGGGGGGGGGGGGGCGTGTGATGCACGTAGGGCAGGCCGGGAATTAGATTGTAGGAACTTTGCAGGAAACGAATTGGGGACAGGCACTATTACAGGGAAGAAAAGTGCCGTACTTCCGTGATGGGATGTCATGACACGGGCACACTGGGCAGCACGGGGAAGCTCAACCTTACCACCACACTTGCGCAGTTTACCTCACGGTTCCGTTCTTAGCAGGGTGGAAGTTACCGGGTGGCCGACCGCCACATTGCGGAGAGTGGGAACAACACAAAAAAAAAAAAGACACACGGACCCGGGACGCCTACCAAAAGTGACAACACGGCCACCCCGATTTCCAGGGATCCCCAACCAGTTACGGTGGTATTCGACGGTACTATATGGGGTAGAATGACGGATGTCAACGATGGCTTAGGCCCAACTGGCTCTTGCATTGCAGGGTAATTTACAAGAGTAGCGTACGGAAAAAGAGATCTGATAGTTAGGTTTGGGACGTGGATGGGGGGAGGGCGCATAGTCATACTCGAATAAGGCTTAGTGACGTCAAAATGGGGAACGGAGACCAACAAGACCAAAAATAGTGTCACTTCCAAAGAGAACAAAAAAAAAAGTTCTTCTTGGATTTGGATTTGGAAAAAAGGGCAGGGAAACGGTCCAGACTCTCTTCGATTCCCTTTGGGCCAGGTTTGGATTTGCTTTGGCGCCTAGTTTCGTCTCCAATTCAAAAGTAAATGGCGCTCTACACAGCTACCCAAGTAAGACAGCTTTTTCCCCCTTTGGGCTGTCGTGTTATTGGGGAATAGAGTTTGCACCAGAACGGCGTGGTAGTAAACGCCCGCCTATTGGTAAACCCCCCGTGAAGGGCTGGAAGCTGAACCAGCTGCTTTCCTTCTTTTGGCTTTCTTGGCCTGAATTATCATAGTCATCAATTGGGGAGAGGGGGGGGGGGGGGGGAGCCGAAAGCCGAATCTCCTGGGTATCCCCGGCAAAAGCCACCCGTCGAACCCCTCCCTACCTTGCCTCTTCCCCCCAAAGCCCAAGCTTTGCTTGCCCCAAGCATCGCACATGAACGCCAAACTCGTCGTGAAGATCAGATATGACGTGGGCAAACACACCACATCACCATCGCCCTGGCCATTTGTTGCCTCTCTTCCGGTCTCTCTGTTGCGTCTCGTCTATTGTCTATCGACCCTCGAGAGCTACTGCGGCTCGTTCGAGGAACGCGTTGAAATCCTTCACCTGCTTCAGCGTGCCCCCCGTGTCACTGCGCGTACAGGCTTGGTCCGTAATTCTGGATATCAAAATCTCGAGGTTCGCCAACTCTGCCGTCTTCTTCTCGGCCGGGCTCAACTCGGGGGCCGCGCGACCGCGCTCCACGGCCATGTCAATGTCATGCATCTGCGAAGATAAGCTCAATTGGTTCTGTGGGCACACACAACACAACGGCCGGTTAGAAAGAGCTCATAAGGCTGAGTTAAGGTGTGTGGTGTCGCCTTTTGGGCAGGGTGAGGGTGTGACATTACCAGTGCTTCTTCCGTCACCCTCTCGTGCTTAATCCTGACGGCATCTTTCCGGAGCGCCACCTGGTCTCGCTCGGCTCGGATACGCATGATTTCGTCCCGAAGAGTGATCCTCTCTTTCTGGACACTGCGTACTCGCTTGCGCAAGCTGTGGAGCGTGTCGAGGAGAATGGTCTGAAATTCTTGAGTCAGCACGGTACGGTGGCAACCACCACCAGCCTCGGGGTGCGGATCTACCCACATGTTGGAGGAGCCGCGTCCTCAGTTCGTCCTGATACGCTTCCAGGGCCCGTTGCTGCACGCGATGCTCCCTCTTGGTGGATGCATCTTGAGCATTACGCACTCCCTCCTTCAGGGTCTCTATGCTAGTCTCGATAATCTCGTCGCACGTATGGGTCAACACGTCGACCGTGTTCACACCGCCGCGCCCGGCGAAAGGGATATCCATAGCGAGCACGTCTGCTTCGTCGTCGCCGCCTTCAGCCACTTGCACACGTTTTGTGAAGCGCTGCACGGGAATGGATACAGCCTCATCGACCCCATCTGATCCAGACTTCTTCCTGCGCTTCGGTGCAGCTTTGGGTGAGGCGTTCTTCGCTGTAGAAGCCGCCTTGCCTTTGGAGACCGCCTTCGGTCTGCCTTGCTTCTGCTTCGCTGGGCTATTTGGAGCTTGTTTCCGTCGCCTCTTTGGCACGGGCTCTTCTTGTTGCTCCTCTTCAGCTATCGTAGAATCTGGTTCCGGGGATGACTTCCGGGGACTCGTGCGCGGTCGCTTCCGACCCAGTTGTTGAGCTGCTTCCTTCGCGCCCACTTCCTCGGCCAAGCTTTCATTGTGATCCTGTTCCTGCTGTAGCACTTCGTCAACGATAGCGTCCAGCTCCGGTCCCAGTATCGATTCGGTTTGGGAATTATTTGCTGTTGCTCGTTCTGATACGTCGGCAGGTACTTCTGATGCTTCTTGTTCCGCTTCCTCTGGCTCTGCTTCACCACGATATGAAAGCTCGGGAGACCTTGTCCTAGAGACAGAGTTTGCTGTCCGATCCGGAGAGAGCTCGTCCAGGTCCTCGTTGGCAGATGCGGCCGAATTACGACTCCCACGAGAGCTGAGTGTGGACCTGCGAGTGCTAGTCGTGTTCCGCCGCACTTTGCGCTCCAAAGGAGACGATATCGGAACAGTCTCTGTCGCGTTTTCTCCCGGGGATAGGGCTTCTTGTAACCTCGCGCTCGACGCGACAGCACTGCTTGTTGTGATCCTCCGCCGTCTCCCACTGCCCGGCGCATCCGCAGGACTCTCCTCCACCTCGGTGTTATCTGCTGTCATCCGCCTCGATACTGGTGAAACAAATGAAGCTGACGGAGCGGGCCGCGGTGGCGGTAGAGACTCGACCGAGTCGGGGTCGCCGGCTTCGACAACGGCATCGGGCCTCGCTGCGGGCTGCGTGACTGTGGCTTGTGCGGATTCGGTAGAGGTTTCTTCTTGGAGTTCGTAGACATCTGGCTTTCCTGGCGATTTCTGCGTCTGGCTAACATTGTCCGCCTCGGTGGTACCAGGTCGCGCTGTTTCGCTGTCTAGTCTGCGCCGCTTGGCAGATGTATTCGGGGTCGGTGTCGGTCGGGGCGGCGGCCTCTCGGGGCTAGTTTGCGCTTCGATTTCGGTTGTGAGGTCGTCGCCAAAGTCCAATTGAAACGAAACATCCTCAATCTGTCCATGTCTTCACGTATTGTGGTCAGACAGAAAGCATTAAAGGGGCCGGAATAGCCTACCCAGCTCCTCGCATGCGCTGTTGCATGCGCTCCCCTCGTGCTGTTGAAGGTCAGCATCTCTCGTTGGTGGGGCTCTGCGATTGGACTCACTGGTCATGACTGCGGACTATGACGAGCTCGCAAGTGCAAATGAAACCCCCGGATTGTTCGTGTGCAAGAGATATATCATTGAGGAAGAACGAGTATCAATTTGTGACTATTGTGGTTTGAAGCGCATACTTGAACGAGCTCAGGCCGATCTCTACACAGCAGACTGAGGGGCGGCGCGTCTACTAAAGTACTGGCCAGGCGTGTCGCGACGACCCTTTACACAAGACACCCCTGCAGTCCGTTTTGTGGCCCGTGCACAAGCAGCACCCAGACTTGGAACTCCACACACGATGCCTCTCCATGAGCCATTGCTTTGTCACTGTTCGAGGATGAAAAGGAATACTAGCCCTCAAAGGCATTCAAGAAAACATTCATCAAGTGGTACTTTTGACTTTACTGAGATATATCTTAAATTGGGCAAGAAACAGAGGTTCATTTCTTGTTTGGCCAGTAAGTTGAGGGATGATGAATGCATCACATTTGCTCCCTCGCTCGCATTGTCAACTCTGTGCCCCCATATACTCCCCTCTTTCCACTCAAAGGTTCGAGATACATTTTAGGTGTAAACTAAATGCAGCTTTGTTACTTGGATTCAGGATACTCAAATCCGATATCTGCTTTTTCCCGTAGCTCTTGCCAGCCAGGTCAAGTAAAAGCTCTTAACTCGAAAACCTCGACGTCATCTCAGTAAGATTCGATCATGTCACAAGTCGGCAGACTTTCCTGAATACTTTCCTTACTTGCACTTGCCTTCCCTTCTTTGCAAGTCAGCCTTTCAAGTCTTGAGATATCAATCTTGCCTTCTTACAGATATCATCGTACCTTCCTCCGATACCAACATTCCGCCAAACAGCTCCTTCTCGATCGTCAATCCAACTGCAGGAAACTCTTGGTATTTAATGAGAGAACAGGATATTTGCATCCTTTCTAAAGCTTCCAACTTTCAACTTGGCCTTCAACCTATCAACACAAGACTAGCCTTCGCCATTCAGACTCGGTCAACAGCAACTTTACTCCTCAGCTTCCTTCGGTTGATCGTTGCCCTCTGGGAGAGGGGGAGCCTACCTTCCCATACATCTGATTCACTCTTCCTCGATCTTTCCATGACTTCATTCACCAATCTTCTCTATCATTTTCAAGACACAAAATCAGTCAGTTTCGACATTACATCTCCAGCCTAGACTACGAAAATATCAAGCGGGGTGTCATTTCCATTTCACCATCGTCTAAATCATATCTACACGATTTAAATCTTTGAGAAACACCATCTCTCAACGAGACTCTCCCAGAATGGCTGACGTTGAGATGGCAGATGAGTCCATCGTCGAGCTACACCCCTCGTGGGATGTTGCTCTCATTGTGGCTCATAACAACACCCAGAAGAAATTCCTCGTCTCCTCTCACATTCTGAGAGTCGCATCCAAGTCCTTCGACTCCCTACTTACTTCCAAGTTTGAGGAAGGCGCCAAGACTCAACCTGATTCGAAGCCCGATATCATCTTGCACCATGACAATCCCGACGCCATGGAGATTATCCTTTCAATTCTACACTACAAGCACCAAGACGAGTGGTACAACCTCAGTGCCAAGATGATTGCAGTCATGGCCATACACTTGGACAAGTACGACTGTTCTGCGTCCCTGAGACTGTGGGTGAATCACTGGCTCGTTAACTTTGGGCAGGTGGAGCATGGGGACGTTGGTTACCTCTTGGCAGCGACTGCGTACCTCGGCGAGTCGGCAAAGTTTCAAAAGATGACAAGATCTGCTATCTTGTATCTCCCAATGAACTTTGACTTCAATGCTTGGTATGAAGACGATATGGTGTCTGCCTTGCCGGACAACGTCATTCGTGAGTTTGCTAAGATGAGTAGGTTGAGAGGCACTTTGACTAATAGTTCTTAGGCAACATCGTTCGCAAGACGAAGTCAGTCAAGCAACGTCTGTACGCTCTCTTGCAGGGAACCATCATCGATCTTGGACGGAATCAATCAGAGATAGGCCTGATGGACACTTCCCGCTGCAGCAAGTGTCTCCGCACCTACAAGAGAACCCAGAACACCCGTTGCCCCAACTGCCCGCCTACCAGTGGTCAACAGTCTGAAGTCTGTGACTTTCCGGTCGTCTGTTCTCCCGAGACAAGAGTAGCTGAGTGCACGCTCATGTTCTTAAAGCAACAGCTGTACCCGAACGAAAAGGCATGGCGTGAGAGTACCATTGCCGACATCGCTCGCCGTTTCAATAAGATTAGGGAAATGAACACCCACCGGTGTGACTTTGACCAGAGGTGCCCCCTGAAGAAGCGGTTGGGCGAGCTAGACGAAGCTGTGGTCGAGGTGATTGATGGCATCCGAGGCTGGAAGCTGAAGCTTTCTACCACTGATGATGATGCTGTCAAGTCTGACGGCGTGGACGAGCCCAGCAAGTCGTTGACGTGCGAATCAAAGTAGAGCGGTCAGGTGGTTTTGGCGAATTTCAAAAGGCAAGTGGGTTAGTTGGTGATTTTGGCTTTCAGGACACGGCGGTAATTGGGCAACAAGAGCATTTTGATTTCAGATCATTTTTCCAGATCAGTTTAAGGAGTACCGGTCATAGAATTTCACTCAGCAAGTCCTTTGGTATCGATGTTATTCCACTGACCTTCTATGCTGCTCGAATTGTATATGGAACCGTTTGACATTTTTGCGCTGGAACAAGCAGGCAAACTAGCATAAGAATAATCAACGGACGCTCTTGAAGCTTCCTGCCATATTCGGGCTGTCAAATGATTTTGCGTTTCAACGAACTACCTATACTACCTTACCCAATCTCATTCAGGACTCAGGTGGTGGCTCCTTGGCCAAGGCGGGTCTGACCCCCGCTCAAATACTATGGTGGTGGCAGTTGCCTTCAGGATAGACATCTCAACGGAAAGCACGAGACAGAGCACCTACTGCTCTAGAAGCTTCGCAGATAACATCCAAGCTTTTCATCTTCACTTCCTTCTTGAATCTCTCTATTCTCTCTGCCTCATCTCGCCAATTCCATACCCATCTACTGAACCGCGCTACTTTATTAATCCAGCACCACGGCCTTTTCTGCCGCGTTATTGCTTGCACGTATCCCTATGGACGGCGAAAACCACCCATCTGAGAAGATGGTCAACAGCGCACAATCAACCGGGATGGTAACCCAGACAAACTCCGGGCAGCATCAGCAGCTCCACGGGGAAAAGCCTTTGGGGGGCGTTCGTCAGTTCTCGGACGTCCAAGTGCAGCACTTCACCGGGCAGTCCGAAACCATTTTCCCCAATGGAGACTTACACGTAATTCTCCTCGACTCTCGGAACACAATGCTCGCCGGCTTCCGCGTATTTTCCCAGATCTGCCGGGCTTCGGCACTATTTGCAAAGTTGATCGATACACAGTTGAGCGAAAAGGATGGCTGCAAGTTCATCTTCGTCCGTCTCTTACCTGTACCTGGATCATGGAGACTCGACGGGCAAGCCCTCCGCTGCATACTCTCGGTCTTGCACCACACCAAAAAAGATGAGTACATGAAACTCGACGTTGGAGAGCTTTTTCGAGTCTCGGAAATGAGCCTTTTCTTGAAGTGTAACGACGCGCTCGCGCCGTAGATCGGCATCTGGTACCCAAAAGCCCTCCAGAGCATTATCGATGGCGAACAGCCATCTGTTGTAGAGCTTGGAATGCTTTTGAAGTCAGCGGATAACTTTGAGGCCAAAGACGAACTCGTCAAGCTGAGGCAGTTTGCTATGCACAATCTTCCGATGCATTTCCGAGAAATCTGGGCAAGAATCCCGCCGCTCTTGACTCTAGCAAATTGCAAATCTCTCGGTAAGAGTGACGGAGTTACACTTTCGCTGGTCCCTGTTATCTCTCCCCTGTTTCCGCGATTTTCTGCGCCATGGCAACTGGATAGAAGCTAGTATGTGTCAAATGCATGAAGCTAACACGGTTCAACTCTAGATGGACTCCAGTTTGATGTCAACGAACGACTGGTACGAGCTTGCTCGCGTATTTGGTCTTTCGAGGGCCTCCTGGACACCCAGAGCGAAGGATACATCACCACCAGACGGCTCTGTCTCAGCTATGGGCGGCGACACCCGTCCAACGCCAAATTATGCCACCTTTGTCTCAATGCAACACTGTACGATGATGTCTGTACCAAAAATTCTCGAGTCGGCGAGTACTTCAGGATCCTCGCGCTCCAGACATTGTGGCCCACCACTATTTGGACCTCGGACGATGCCACTCTCTCGACAATTTCTCAGCGCGTCAACAATTTGGCAAGCCGCATCCCGCATACATGTAGCGGTGGTTCCAAATGCCCCCTGATTGTCCACATCAGCGCTCTACAAGGTCATTTGAAGCGGACCATGGATGATTGTACTCAGAGCAACACTTCGGTAAACCTGGGGAGCACGACAATGTGACCATGACCGAAATCAGGAAAACCAGCATGGTGGAAGGTGGCGGTGCTATCGCGGAGGCGGTGGTCGAGGATATTGACAAGGACTAGGTCTGAGACATGAGGAGCAGTTTGATATGGACAGCGAGCATGCAGCAACAGGTTTGGGTTGAAGCGAAGATTGGCATTTTTCTTATTGAAATCAGAGCTTTGGGTATTCCCTAACGCCACAAATGAAGACTGATCAGTTTTAAAAGCGGACACCTTGTCCGAAAGTTTGACACAAACGCCTGAGCCCATACATCTATCCGTGAACGTCGTACAGCCGCCTATGCCTCTTGATTCAGAGTTCATCAGTAGGAATCCATTGCATCTTGCTGTCGACGAACTTATGGCTAGAGAATATCATTAGCAACCAGTGGGTGCATTGGAGGTTATGAAGACTTACTTCATGAATTCCTGATTTGTCAAAGCCTTCTCTCCATACTCAGAGATAAGCATCTCCTTGTACTTGTAAGGAATCTTGGCCTTGACACCCTCAAAAGTGGTATCGAGCAAGGGATACAGGAACGTATCGCGGAACTCGTGGCCATTCTTAGTCGCCAGCACACCCTCGCCCTCGGGGTGGTCCTCGACATAGCGAACGGCAGTGATATCGATGAACAGCCCATTGTCCATGTCGATCCAGCGGGCGTCAATGACGTTGTCCTCGTCAAAGCTGTCCTGTCCCCGGTGGACGTAGTTGGGGTTGACCTCGAGCTGGAAGTAGCGGCCCTGCGGGATGGTCGGATACTTGTAGTACCAGGTGGTCATGTTGTAGTAGGCGGCGAGGAAGTTGATGCCGTTCTCGGTGACTTGGACGTCGGCGTCCGAGTCCCAGGGGAGCGTCTGCTTGTTCCACCACCAGCCGAGGAGGGAGCCGTGCATGAGCCAGGTCTGGACGCCGAGGTCGCGGAGGGTGGCGAGGTAGGTCTGGATCAGGACCTGTACTGCTTCGCGCTGGGCCGTTGCGTTGAGGGGTTTTGTGGCGAAGCGGGCGTCGTAGTGGATTGAGAAGCTAATGTGGGTGTTAGTTATACCGTTGAGAATAAGGTAATTAGGTCGTGAGGAAGGTGTTGGTGTTGGTGATCTTCATGGGATGGTTTATTAGAGTTTCGGGAAGACGCTTGGTCGCTTCTTTCATCTCATCTCCACCCCCCAAATCTCATCGTCCCAAAGATATCGAAAAAGGCACAAAAATTGGCGTGAGAAGCATTTGATGACTTACTCTGATTCCTGAAAGTACTTGGGTGCCTTACCCCGCGATTCCTTCCGCTCTTCCACACTAGGGGTTGAGGCTGAAGTTTTGTCTTGGATCGGTGTGGCTTGCGTGATGGTGAGACCAACGACGATCGTCGAGAGGAGGCGTCCGATTTGCATTTTGGCTTGATTTTCCGCCGTTTTACTTTGGCTGATATCGACTTTTTTGAAAGCTCCAAACTTTGTTGCGACTTTGGCTTGTTTGGTATTTCTTTTGAGAAATATGAGTATTGGAGAGCTCCGGAAGTTGCGGTCGTTTAATTCCTTCTCAGTTCCTGTTCGTCTGAGGTGGGCAAAACGTCATCGAGAGGTGCGGTGCGGTGCGGCGATAAGCAGGCAAGCTTGAACAGGGAGCAAGAGCGCTTGGTTCCTTCTTTCCCCCAAGTCCCTGCAGTATGAGAGATTCCGATTTTGCGGCGAGGTTGTCGAAAGTCGAGGGACGTCCGTCCAGATGCAAGCCAAGAAAAACTTTGATAAAGCAAAGCTCGACAGGTACACCAATCACTTTTTCCACCAGAGGAACAGCTCAAGAGGAGACGGGAGGGGAGGGGGCCGCACTGGTTTTATCTACCTCTAACTATTCCCAATAGACATACGCATATGCATTCCTTCCATCTTCCCCCCATCATCCCGTAGTGTATGTACTGCGTGGTGTACGTACGACCCAATCCGCCGAAGAACCCGATGCGTGCTCCCGGTTACCCATCCATCGACGGGACGGGGTGAGAGAGAGAGAGGGGCGGCGAAGGCGCCAGACCGGGGTGTGTGTTCAGTTCCAAGGGCCGAAGCAACAGGTTAGCAAGAGGAAAAGCATGCGTAAGACCCCCCAAAAACCTGATGTGATCAACAAGCTTAGCCTCCTCCGAATTCGAACGCAAGTTGCAAGCCCCCAAACGGCGCGCGGGCGGTATTGCGGCAGAGACTCTGTCGAAAACCCATGTTCCCTTCCAATCCCAGCTCACCCCCACATGTACCTACGTACGCGCCGGCACTGCGACAACCGCACAAACGGCCGGACCAACACAGCAAGCCCTGGCTGTGTCCTACGGGCAACAACAGAGCAGAGTATACGGAAGCATCAGCGATGGGCGTTTGGTGGGCCGACTTACCCGCCATTGATGGCCCAGGGTGAGCTTGTACCGCCTTAGAGAGAGCCGAAAATGCTCACCCAGGGCCTAGGCATGGGGTGTGGGATGTTGGGTTTCCTTTGACGTGACGGTGTAGGTCCGTAGCAGTGTCCCTGTTGGTGCTTTTTTTTTTCTTTTCGGCTGGGCCGCGTCATATTGTGCCCCCCATTTCTCCCACGGTGCCGTTTGGCGCTGCCGTGTGTCCCGCACCTCTTCCCGCACTAAAGATATCGCGGGCGGACCGGCATTGGGTGGCCCTTGCATACGTTGGGTTGCTTTTTTGGAATGGGAATATCCTATGGTGCTATGGTGCTATGGGCGATGCCTACCTGACTGCCGCCCACATCCCGAGGGGGGGGGGGGGGGGGGCGACTCCACGCAGCGTTCACAATGTGCTTACGACGTCTTTCTTAATTGTCTTTTGCTGCGCGCGGCGCAATGCTGTGGAATTTTAATGAGGCTCAAGCGGGCCCAAGGGGGATGCTGCTCCGATTGCTTTTCGGCTTCGATCTTTATCCCCATTTGGCTCATTTGGGGGACGCTGGAAATTGCATATGGGACGGGATGGAGCTTTGTGGTTTTGCGCTCGGGTGGCCGCGTTCGTTGTCTCATCGTCGCCGGAAGCCGTTTGGCTTGATTGTGATTACAGAGTGTCATTCAACGCGGTGAGATGCGTGGCCTGGTTATTGGTCATTGCATTTCATTCCATCATGATAAGTGGCATGTGGGATCTCGGTAGTGCTATGGGCGATCCGACTCATGAATTTCGGTCAAGGCTCGAGAATGAGATCCTACTATTCTAGAGCATTATCCTCTGTCTGTGCTCAACATCCTGACTTGCCCGTGAAGTGAAGATACAAGTGCAGCTATCCTCGTGGGTAGAGTTGATGGTAGAAAAGACTAAATCCCGAGAATTAAGCTTGTCAGCAGAGGTAGCTGGCACACTAGTCCCCGAGATACGTTATAGCCTGGGACGACATCAGAAAAAAGGCCATCGGTTGCACCGAGTCCAAAAGATGGTAATATCGAAGTTCATGCTCAGAGTCACCTCGGGCCCTACCGAATTTGCGGTACTGACACACTGAGTACATAGCACATAGTGTGGAGCGAATGCGATCGTCGACTTCTCGTCTCTTAGCACCTTACCCAGCTTCATCATCGCACAGTGGCTTCTGATTTGACAATTGGACAAATTCGTTGGAAATCTTGGCCTTCGCGGCCGGTCCGTCGACGACTAGCGCCATGAACAGCTGCGCAACCCGGTCGGCCTAAGAAAGCACGGCCGGCCAGCTTTTGTACGAATATCCGTAGACCGGCGCGGAAGCAAGCGAGACAAGGGTCCCCGCCAAAAACAACAGCGCCGAGCCTGTGCACTGACGACTCTGCAATACAACACCATCCTGCTAGATGGCCATGAGATCGACTCTGCGGGAACCTGGGAAGAGGACTCCGCTCGCGCTACCAATATAGACCGACCCAAGCCAGCGGGTAAGGCAGGCCCAAAATGGCAGCCTCCAACTATGTCACCAGGCAGTACGCCTCTGAAGCTTTCGTCGAGAGCTGTGGCGCAATCCCCTTCGACTTGTCCAAAGACCCGGCAAGGGTCTGCCTGATTCATTACCTATCCACAGACGAATGGCTCCTGGCCAAGGGCAGACGCAATTGCGGCGAGTCGAGGCATGAGGCAGCCTTACGAGAGGTGCTTGAGGAGACGGGCTTCCGCTGCCGACTTCTGCCTGTTGATATGGCCACGCGGGCGACGGGACCGGATGACGATGCGAATGTCCCAGATCAAGCAGCCGCGCGTCGAGGACTCACGGAGCCGTTTATGCTGACGATGCGAGACGTTGATGGGGGATCTGGGGTGAAACTCATCTGGTGGTATGTCGCGACTCTTGACGAGGGAACTGCGGAAGAGGCGGTGGGTGGGGAGGCTCAGTTTAGTGCGAGCTTCTTTGGTCTTGATGAAGCTGTACAGAGACTGACCTTTGAGGACGACCGAAACGTTCTGAGGAAGGCCATCCAAATCGTCAAACAAACAACCCTTGTGTCATAGGCAGCCAAGTTCGGTCAATAAGCAGCTTCTTCTACCTTGCTCATGCCCCCCCCCCCCCCCGCCTGAAGATGCATTTCTTAATTGGGCATGGCCTTTGCAATACGCGCAGCAGCGCAGGTAATGTCGGGGCAATATCCACCCTTTCTTCACTGGCGCTATCCCTCAAGGTGGGGGTTACATAAGCGACCCTGCCAAATACGAGCCAATAGAATCTCTTCCTGGCAGGACAACGTGGCTGGGGGCCTGGGGCTGTCGTCACCTTCCCCCAGCACGGATAAGGCGCAGGCTCGAGCTGATAAGGCCAGCTGGTGCAGGTGCAGCTGGGGGGCGCAACTGCGTGACTGCCCGCGCGGCGTAAGAGCTGAATCTGGAAACTGGCAGGAGGGCACCTCGAGCTTCGTAACCTTCCCGCACTTTCAACTTGGAAATAGCTTCATTCCTCGGCTTGCTTATACCCATCTCACCCCTTCCCATCGCCGAGCTTCGTTTCAAACGGATCCGGCCTCTCCATCGGAGCTTCATCCGATTCTATTCTCCCCCTTCCACCGTGGGCGGCTCGCCGGCCTTCGTGTGATGTGAAACGGAGCTGCCGTTCCCTTTTCCCGTCCGTTCTTGTTTGCGTGTCGCAATCGCATTCCCCGAGTCCCTCACACCAACCACATCACAACTTCTCTACACATCGGAATACGCTGGAAGCTCGACTTCCCATCCGGCACCATGACTGCGTGGAACGTACGTGCTGCGTCGACCTAGATACGTGATTCCCGAGGCAGTCCGCTAACTAGCTGGCCAGGTATTTCGTTTCATGGGAGACATCTCCCATCTCCTCTCCAAATGCATCTTGATGATTGCGATACATCGCAACAGGAGTGCTGAAGGTACGCTGCCCGATTTTATACCACGAATGCCTGTTGACTGATGGTGTCTGCGCAGGTGTCTCCCTCATCACCCAGGGTCTGTACGCCTTGGTCTTCTGCACGCGCTACCTCGACATCTTCTCCGAACAATCAGCATGGAACTTCATCTTCAAGATATTCTACATTTCATCATCCTTCTACATCATCGGGGCCATGCAGTGGATCTTCCCCCGCACCAGAGAACGTGAGCTCTCGTGGAAGGTCGGCGCCGGCGTCTTCGGCCTCTCGCTCGTCTTGTCTCCCTTTGCCATGCTCATCTTTGAGAGCTGGTGGAGCTTCCGCGTCGTAAGTAAAGACCTCGCACGAAATGCTAGTCATTGCTGGCCATACAGCTGCTAACGTCATGCCAACAGTGGCTTTGGGACTTCAGCCAGATCCTCGAATCCATCTGCGTCCTGCCCCAGCTGCTTCTGCTTCGCCAGACCACCGTTCCGACCGTCATCGACTCCTTCTACCTCGTCACTCTTGGCTCGTACCGTGGATTATACCTGATCGGATGGATCACGCGTGAGCTCGACATCAACGACAAGGCGCCAAACACGGTCTCCGTCATCTTCGGCATTATCCAGACGGCGCTGTATGTCGACTTCGCCTGGGTATACTACACTCGCCAACGCGTCAAGCTCCGCAACGGTGGCATTGTTGATGCCGACGACCTGCGTAGAGGCTGGCTGCTCAACAGAATCTTTGGAAAGCGCATTGATGCCCACTCCGACGACGAGGAGAGCGCCCCTGCTCTCGGCGACGACGATGGCCAGGGCCGCCGCGGTGGTGGACGGCCCAAGTGGGGTGCCCGTGGCATCTCAGTCAGCGCTGATGAGGGTGTTCTGGATACCGACCGGGACAACCAGCGCCGGGATGAAGAGCTCGAGGAGGGTGTCATTGACCCCGATGCCAAGATGCAGGATCCCGACGAGCTCGCCCGTGTGCTGGACGATGATGATGACGACGATACGAACAAGGCGTCCGGAAGCAATGGCACACCCGCCGGGATCGACAACGGTTCTGAGTGGCGCAACTAGCCCTCGGGCCACATACCTGTCCCGTTGCTCGAACCTGGTGGCCTGAATATCTACATTCCTCGACTCACCGCGTCCCGTAAGGGCTCGGCTTCACACACTGACGCCTCGGAGAAGGCTGTCTAGCGCTAAGTGGACACGAGGCCACCGGAGCGGGAAGCGTCGTGCTAGCAGAAGTATTTGTAGTGAACAGCGTACGAGGGCCACACAGAGACGGTCTTCAAAGCGGAGTTTTTGGACATGGTTCTCTTTTGAGGGTATAAAATTGTTGTACGTTTTACGAGAGAATCAATACACAGTTGACTTTCCATGATGTATGCAGTGTCCATTCATGTTCCTTGTGTTGGCAGCGTCATCTATAGTCTGCGCCTGGTGCCTCTTGCGTATATTTGCGGCATTCCAGACACATTCGTCCAAAATACTGGACACTACTGATGAGCTTATACAACCATGTCTCGTTCGTGGACAGGCACGCCTTCTTCGCAAGCTGTCACTAGTCTCGAGTCAGGGGCTCGCCGTGCCTTCCGGGCGCCTCCCATCTCGTAGATCAAAACATCGCAAACTTGGGAGCTCCCTCGTCATAAGCGCCTCCAAACTCGCTCCAAATTCGCTCGAATATATCCAACACAAAGCTTCGCCAATGTCATCGCTGTATATTATCACAAATGTTCCTTCCCCAAAGAGTGAATTCGCACCAGGACCAAAAGTCAGACCAAGAGAGAACAGCGTTGACTCCTGATGAACGGTTCCAGGTGTTGAGGAGGGTCGATAAATACTCCAAATCGCTTCAACCAAAAACACAGAATCCCTCGTTTCATTACACGGGAATGAAGTATTGACATGAAGATCGCTCCAACAATCTACCGGGACGTCGGTTCGTCGTTGGATCAACCGGTCGTGGCCGTTGCGGCCGCAGTCGTAGTCGTAGTCGCGTTGGCGCCAATGACATCGTCAATATTCCCGCCAAAGGTTCGAATCTGCTCCACGCTCGTCAGGCTGGCCCACTGGCCCGAAAGCACGGCGCTATCGACATCGAACCCGCCAGACGCGGTGGTCTGGTTGATCCCCGTGGCGTTCTGTAAGTGACAGAACTGCGCCGTGCCCTTGACGAGCGCGACGCCGACGCAGATGCCGCCGCCGTCAAGGAACACGTCGTCGCCGACGGCGTCGCTGTAGCCCTGGTTGTACTGAGCGCAGAGCGTCATGCAGGTGAGCATATCCGGGACGGTCATGACGAGGATGTCGCGGAGGTACGGGTTGATCCCCTGGCGCATCGGGTAGTACGTGTTGCAGAGGACGTCGAAAGACATGACCTCGTCGTTGTTGAAGCGAATGGGGGAACCGGAGGCGTCGTAGGGGGTTACCGTCGTGTTCACGCCCGCAGTAGCTAGCGGGCAGTACGGGTTGATCGGGGCGGGCGAAGGGACGCCGAGCTGTTGGATTACGGCTTTTGGCTCGTTTTCGTCGGAGGGGCTGAATTTCGCAAAAAGGAGGACGCTTTCCGTCAGCCTTCGAGGCTGTCATGACGAAGACGGGGGAGGAGGAGAGACAAAGAGTTGACAGGAGGAATGGGTGGAAAGGTAAGGTAGGTAGATAGTAAGCTCGTTCGTCAGACGTACCGGTTAGCCAAACCCAACGCCAGACCCACGGCGATGGCGACGCCGACGATGATGACTCCCAGTGCGACTGCGGCCCAGAAGCGTAGCACGGTTAGGCCCAAGATTGTCTTTCTCGGGTGCTGCTGTGGCCCCCTCCCGCCGATACCATCAAACCTCTGCCTCCATGCCGCCAAGGTGCCGCCCTGTTGCCGTTCGGGGTCGGCAGGCGCCAGAGCCGGCGCCGAGACGCGGTGGTGGTGGCTTTGTCCTCGTGCGGGCACTGGCGCCGGTGTGACAACGGGCGCCTCGGAGCTGATTCTCGACTCTGGGTAGGGCGGCGAGGCGTCGGGTATGTCGTCCCCTCGGAGGTGGGCGCCCGGCGGGTAGGAAGTGAAGGACTCGATTTGCTGTATCCTGGGGGAGGAATCTATGGGCGATTGAGCCTCATTATTTGGTAGTGGTGTTGTTGGTTGGTGTTGCGGTTGTGACGGTAGGGAATTCGGATCGATGGTCACGGTCCCGGGTTGACGCCGTTCGTGGATCGGGATGATGAACTTGTGCTTCTCCTCCTCCATCTTGACATTGCAGGCCCGCCGCGCGGCGGGCGGCGGGGATTTGTTTGAAAGATTGGGAAAATAACGCAAAAGTCGTCCCTCAGTACCGCACGTTCCTGGCTTCTTCTAGATGTAGTTCGTATGTTCGTGGTGTTTCTTTCCGGCCGACCAAAAGAAGCACCTCACAGCTGCTGGCGCATGCAGGGGCCCGCGCGTAGGATTCGAGGTACGTCCCGTCTCTGCAGGTCCTGAGGCCCTTCTTTCGTCTTCCCAGGCGACGTTGGGGAAGGGGATAAAAAGGTAGGGTATGGGAGCTACGGTAGGGCAGATAGACAGTCGTTTCTCGATCGGCGGTCCCTCACTTTGGTGTATCCGTCGCCTGTATCCGTCGGTAGGCAGAAACGAAATTGAAAAAGGATAAGCCTGGATTAAGGCAGATGAGGCGGCGGGAAAATGGGAGAACCCAGAAGTGGAAAACCGTCCGTCAAGCAAAGATACGTGGGGGGGCCAAGGAATGGAGGACTGGTCGTCTTCGAAGGCGTTAGAGTGGCAGCCGGGTTCCCTGGAAGCAATGAATCCGTAAGAAAAAGGGGATGTAACGTGGAGTCTGGAGATGGTGTGCTGTTGTTGGTCGTCTTCGTCCAGTCTCTCTTGCCAGGGTTGTTGAGTCTTGAAGAAAGGTCGTCCTTGCCAAGTTCCCAAAGCTTGCTCTTGGATATAAACGCGCCAATGAAGGTTCCTTCCTGCTTTTTTGACTGTGCTTTCTTTCGACTGAGGAAAGTCCCAAAGAGCGGGCACTGCGCAGCTCAGCTCCTGCGATGGGGACGTGGAGGGGATAATATGGAAGGAGTTGGTTAAAAAGCCGGGATGAAGGCCTCGGGCGTTCCCCGGACAGGGGCGGGTGGGCAGCGGGCGCTTGTCCTCGAGTCTCACGCCTCTTTCTACGGAGTGCAACTCTCCCACTTTCTCAGATACTCAGACTTCTTAGTGTATGGAGCACGCTACTACATAGCATACATCCAGAATGCTACACTCAAGCCGAGCCTGGGGGGGATCGGAGCCCAACACACTATGACACTGATTGACAGACAGCGTGTTTCCGCAGTCCTGCAGCAAAAAGCTGATTTTAAGATGTGGCTGTAGCCGATACAGTAGTGGGCCCAACGACATGGGTGACCATGGAACGGGGAAAAGGTCGGACTGAAAAGCTTCCCATGGGCCATGACGGCAAAAAGATCCAAATTTAACCCTTGGGGAAAACTCGACCTACGTCGTATTCCCGCAACAAGCTTCGCTGCTTCACGGCTGCTCCTCGGACCATTTGGAAAGACAGTCGACACAGCGATATGCAAAGCGTGCGAGAGATACAGAGAGAGAGCGAGAAGTGGAAGAAGAAAGAGCAGCAGCAGCAGCAGCAACGACAACAATGATGCCTAGACTTGGAGACCATTGCTTGGCAGAGAGCCAAAGGCTGACGCCCAGCCCTCCTTCGAGCCCTTCCTTGGGAATCCTTCTTTCGGCATTTGGAACCGATGGAACGACGATTACATACGCTGCCACGAGTCTGCTTCGCTGCGAGCCTACGAGTCTCTCTCGTCCTGCAGGGGGTTGCGATAGCGATGACCCCCGTTGGGTGGAATCGATCATCCTCCCGCCTTGCGTGAAAAGGGGAGTTCGTCCGGGCTCCCACTCGGGGGAAATGTGGAGGACCTGTCTCCAAAAAGTCTCCACGCACCTCTTTTCGGTCCGCTGACGCTCATACGCTTTCGCATCGACGCAAGACGCTTGTTGAGGGGTGGGGGGTTTGCACTTGCTTCTCTGAGTTCTGTTTGGTTTGGGCTGTTGAACATGAATCAAATGAAAGCTGAAGGGAACGACCAACCGATCACCAGTCAAGTCTCCGTCTCAATGGTCGAGAGAGAACTTCTGCTTTTCTGCGCCCGCAAAGACCCCCCTTCGTCTTCATGCTATGATTGCTATCTAGGGCTGACGACGTGGTATCCGGCAGACGCTGATCGATTCCATTAGGGCATGAGATGCGAAATGAGACAGACAGACAGCTTGTTCGTCAGGAAAGCCAAAGACGAATAGTAAAGGGCGCCCATAGTAAATGCCCAAACACAAAGCGCCAAGAAGGGCCCGGCGAAAAATTGTTGAAAAACAAAAGAGGTAGGGAAAAGAGGAAAAAAACGCCAAAAATTGTCAACAGGACTTAACGTCGGCCAAAGCCCGGAGCAGCCGACCCCTCGGGATGCAAACTGGAAAGTGGTCTGTCATCTCGGGGTCATTGTGGGCTTGGTCCTTAACGTCGTGGGTAGGGCCGAGTCGACCGACCTGCCGACGGTCGACCTGTTTTTTTTTCCTCCACGGGGCAGACGGGGCGGAGGAGGAGAAAGCGGATTGTCCCGCCACGAGGTCGCGAGAGCTTTTCTTTTTGTCTAGTTTCCCCCTTGCCCCGGTTGCGACTCGCGGGGGGAAAAGATGCTGTTGTGGATTCTGGTATGATTTTGGTTAGTACCCGTAACTCTCGCCATTTTCTCGCGAAATGATTTCCGAAGATATGACGGTCACGTGCGGGCGGAAAGCTGCCAAGATGGGACGGTGCGTCCACGACCATCCAGCGGAAACTGGATTGAGCTTGCATGAGGTTAAGTCGACGACATTTGTAGTCATTTCTGCCTTTACTAAATTCGCCGTGTTATTTGATGTTGGTGAATAGACTAACAAACGCTTTTTGCAGGTGGATTTGCTGTGCGGGACCAGGGGGACACCGCAGCGATAGTTAGGAATAAGAGAGTACTACACTTGATGTTCAGTTCATGTTTGCGATATGTTCGGATCTTGTTCAACC